CCAAGGTTGAACTTGCGCAATCTCTCTTAATGCCGATTCTGGACTACGCAGATGTTTGTAACGTAGATCTCAAAGAAAATCTACTTGATAAGCTGCAAAGACTTCAAAATCTTTGCATTCGATTTATCTATGGCCTGCGCAAGTTCGACCATGTTTCTGAATTTAGGAGAAAGCTCAAGTGGCTTCCCATTAGGTTGCGTCGTGAAGAGCATCTCCTCTTATTACTTTATAAGGTGTTGTATGACCCTCGCACTCCCACTTACCTCAAGGAACGTTTCCAATTTCTTGGTGTGGACCACGATCGCGTTTTGCGCTCAAAACACGATAATGTGTTAGAGATACCCCTCACCCGCTCTGAGTATTATATGGACTCCTTTTCGATTAAAGCTGCACAGCTTTGGAACAAGCTTCCGTCTGAGATCCGTCACGCTAAATCATTTAACATTTTTAAAAATATACTACATGATTTTCTTTTAATCAAATCCTAGTCTGCTATATCTATAAATATATAATATTGCATAATATATTTATTTGTGTAGGTATATATAGTATATATATTTGTGTAGGTATATGTTATTTATTTGTATATAATCTTTATATGTTTAAGAAAATATGTACATATCTTTATTTTATCTTGCTGGCATACTACAACTTCCTCTTCATTTAGTTATCCTTTACCGCAAAGGTTGTCTGGAAGAGATCGCTTAAAGCGATAAGGCCGCCTTTGCCCACATTATGTAATTGTTTCCTTATTTTTGTATTCTTTTGTGTGTGTGCAATAAAGAATTTATCTATCTATCTATCTATCTATCTATCTATCTAAACTAAACTTTGGTTTACAACAATTGCGAAAATTCAAACCAAATCGACATTAAATTGCTTCAAAAGCAACTTTCAACAGTCATTATTTTTTTTCAAATCAGTGACCAAGCTCGACTTTTGTTCTTTATTTTAAATTCTAAAATTCAAATTAGGAATTATACATACGGGAAAGTCGATGAAATATGCCAGCATTAACCCTTAATTTACCCGGTAGGTCCCTGGGACTCCATTGAAAACTTTCCGCGCTCATAAAATCGTTAGTTTAGAATTACAAATTGTGCGTTCCAATACCTTCACGGAGTGACGCTTCGAGTGCGGGGGAGAACAGACGTTGCCGTTCGCGGCTTCTATCGGTAAGTAATCACGCTAGTGGAGTCCGTGGGACTCCAGCGGGGTATCAATGTTATAGTTTTAGTCTATGTACGGTATTTTTAACTGTGATTTTTTTACTTTCAGTTGATATAATGGCGTCTCGTAGTTGTATAAACGTCCTTGATGAAGATGCTTGACTTCATATATAGACGACTTCATATATTTGCCATAGTTGTACTAAGCCTGTGTGCCTCAGCTATACAAAAAAGTATGCAATAACTGTGTCATCAACCGTGACTAGAAGGTCTTGCACGTTTTTTCTTTCTTGTTCAAACCATGTTCTTTTTTACTTTTTATAAGAATTGTTTATATTTTTGTTATATTTCTTTGAAGATTACTTTATAATATAGATTTGTTTTTGAAATGTTGACATTAGAAGATAGGTCTCATAATTTTGTTACAAAAAGTGCGATTATCTAAAAGTTCCTTAATAAAAGACTGTAATTGAATGATTTTAACTAAAAAGTTAAGATAATGTAAAACCAAATACATAAAAAGCAAATTTAACTAGCATTTCATTTAAAAAAAAAGGTTTATTTCCTATTATATTTACGATTTAAAACCCAGGAGTCCTGGGGACTCCACCGGGTAAAATGTGTATGTATGAAGTCACCGGGTAAACCAAGGGTTAAAAATGCATTAAAACTTTTTTGTTATATTGTATATTTTTTGTGTATTGGGCCGGGAATGTAAGGTGGCTCGATTCAAGAGTCCGGGAGTGTTTATCATCACATACACCGGTTTATCTAAATAGCAGATTTAGGTTTCTTAGTCATTCTCATGACCTTGCCTCCGTTAAACGGACAACCTCCTTCTGCATACTCCCGTCCTTTCTTCTGGCTTCGTCTCCTACTCTTTCACTGTCACGGCGGTACGATTCTGGAATGACTTGCCAGGGGGCAAGTCATTCCAGAAGTATATTAGGGAATATACGTAAAGCTCCTAACAAACTTGCATTTAGGAGACTGGTTCGTGAGCACCATCTCAATTGCATTAAACAGCGTTCTCATATTTGACTGACATAATCGTATACTTATGTTTGTATGTTGTGTATGTATGTGTGTATATTTATGTATATATTTATATGTGTATAATATGTGTGTATTCTGTTAAGAGTATTTGTATCCTTGGTTTATCTTAAATTTGTCTTTTTTGCGCCCCCGTCATATAAGTTTTTTTCTCACGCTCTTACTGGTCGACTGGTAGAGAATGCCTTATGGCATTATGTCCACCATTTGCTTTGTTATTTTGCATTAAAGTTTAAATAAATAAATATTATGGCAACTTGCTGTTCCAATCATACATTACTAACATGACAAATTGTGATGTATGATTGTAAAGACACGTTTATTCATTCGTTTTTTAGCAAGGACATATGTGTTTGTTAAGATATGACTATAATTGGTAACAAATGTTTTTTCCTAACACAATATTCGGGTAAAGACTTGAATTCTAACGTTTGCCCATTGAATAATTTAAAAAATTGAATAAACCCAAAAATCCTTAATGTTGACACGAAACCCATCGTTCTGTAGGTTCGTGTGTGTACATTACTAATTTTACTCTTCAGTACCGCCAAGGTTTATATTAGCTTGACAAATTGACGACACCAAGGAACAAACTTCCGACAACTTTATGTTTAATTCACGATTTAAAAGCCTTCTTTTACTTTGTGTGTGTGTGTGTGTGTGTCATGCCTTCCTGCACGATTACACATTATGTTGGTCGCGTCATAAAATTAAATTGAACGTAACTTTAATATTAATTGTTAAATGTTCGATATTTAGTCACGACACGTAATGTTATGATGTTCGTAATATGTTAGGTTTTAGTTAGTTGAATCGGATACAATTAAATAACATAAATCAATGTTTAAACAGTCACTGGTGTCAATTCTGGCATGATTCTCTAAACTTAAAACTAAATTTGACATCAGTCTCTCCTTTTCATTCCCTATAGAGAATGCCAAATTCAAATTCTTTATTGTGAAATGTAGGTTAGTACAGCAAATTGGTGTTAGGATAAAAGTTTAGTGTCACTACATTTCGACCTTATTACAAGGTATACAATATTTTTTATGAAATAATTAGGTTTACAATTATATAAAAATCCATATTAATAAATTACAATTACAATAAAACAAGTCATAGTTAGAATTAAATGTCAAAATTATTAATCAATATGTCAAACTAATAATAGTAATAAATTGTGCTTTAATAGACTAAAATATAAGTTAATTACGTAATTATGTCCATTTCTTTCAAGGAAGTGTCACTAAGGAACTCTTGTGTATTATAGTATACTTTGTCAATTAATAGTTTCATTAAGCGTTTCTTAAACATAGTCATTGGCAAATTATTGGGTATTTTGTTAAAAATTGTAGTAGTCATCCCAAAGACACTATTGCTAAATAGTGCAGTTTTATGTTCCATTGCACATAATGTATTCCCTATCACTCGTCTATGGATGCACTGTTGTCAAATTTAAGTTTAGGTATAGAGAATCTTGCCAGAATCGACACCACTCCGTATAAATTGTAACTTGCTGTCGTAGTAAATGAAAATAAGAGAGTAAACGATAATTTCATTTAGAGTCTTTTATCTATTAAATTAAAGTACAATTTCTATTAAGTAGTTGTTGTCGAAAATATTCCTTTTTATTTAATATTTACTTTAAATAAAACTTACTCATATCTGTTTTTTTTGTATTTTAAACTAAGTACATATCTATCGTATTGTTAATTATCAATAGTGTTATAAAATACTAGCGGCCGCCCGCGACTTCGTCCGCGTTAACTTTTGAATTTAAAGAGCTCTCTATAAATATTGTTACCTTAAAAAGACAAATAAGACGAAACTTCCAATAGCTTATCCCATTTGTTACATCCCGCCGAGCGACAACCGGTGTTATTTTTTAATGGAAAGAACAAAATATGGCGGCGTGGCATTATTCCGCTTTTACGATAGCCGGATACCGTTGGGTGTAACGGGACCGGCCCAAGCGGCGGCCTGCCCTAACCGCGCGCCGGTCATCATGAATTGTAGTAACTTCGGTAACATTTGTATCAATGAATGACCGCCGCGCCGGTTACTGTCCGTCGGTAGGTAAGTACGCTTCACCGCCTTTTTTATTAATCTGAGACAGTTGATAAAAATGCGGGTCAGAAACTTAGACCGCGTTGTTTCCTTAATAGTTAAATATACTGCCACGTCAAATACATATTTAGTAAATGTGTAAGATTATGGCAAAAGGTATTTTTTTCTATAGGATTCAACGATAGTAAAATTTTACTATTGATGGTACTACGCGGCCTTAGATACTACCTCGAACTGCTGTAATGGATTCGTTTACTTGTATTATAAACTAACTTGTTATTACTGTGAAATAGTTTTTTTTTAACGCATCAGATATTTAAAATACACTTGGGCTGGGTTTCTTTTGACTTCTCTCTGGCTGAATCAGTTGAGATGATTTATTTATTGATACATCCAGATAAATTATTATTAAAGGGATTTAATGCGTATGCAGTATGCGTGAGAGGAAGAGAAGCCAGACAGTCTGGCGCCGTAGCGCGTTACGTAACGAATCGGTTTACCCTCCCATAAGAAGTTATCAACTCCAAAATCAAATTCTTAGGCCCTTTTACCAATCTTCTTTATTCAAATTAAGGTTAAATCATGTTTAACACATTCTATCTTTGTCAATTGTTGAAAGTCAAATAAAGATAGAACGAGGCTTAATCACTATTAACTTTTGAATTAAGAATTTTGGTGCAAGTAACCCTATGAAAAGATTTGATTACTTACCGGTGGCCGGAGGGTTGTATGTCTAGAATAGTAGTCGTGTTGGTAGAAGTTCGTGGGCGATAGGGGCGGCCGGTACTTCTTATGGCCGTACCCCATGGTGTCCATAGTATGCATGGTAGCTCACTACACTCGGCACGCACAGACTGTATTTGACAACCGTCACTTCACATAGCACTCGATTCCACATACATCTGTGAACAATAATGTATATCATGTATTATAATTACAGTAGATGCTTGAATTGGGCTAGATTGCCGTCTGTTAACACTTTTGTGTTAACAGACGGCAATCTAGCCCACTGTTACTTTTCTGTGTTTTCGTTTTTTCTCATGACAAGTAACATAACATTCCATATTATGTTATGTTTTACACTACTTGGTTTGGGGTTAGAAGAACGTGTGACAAAAATTTTGTCACATAGAGAATGACTCTTTTATTTATTAACTGTGATACTCTGTTAGAGACACTATGCATAATGGTAGTAAGAAAACTGAGTAGTGACAAACATGAAATAAAACAGGTTAATAATGCAAACTTGCATAAATTTTAAGTGTGGCAATAGAACAGTTTTATAGTAGGTACCTAACTTTAGCTTAACAGCATGGACCTATAAAATATATTTTTTACAGGTCCATGCTTAACATTACAAAAAAGGTTAAGTTACAATAACAGTTATAGTTCTCAACATTTACAGCCATAACTTTGAAGTGCATATCATCATTATTCTTTTAAGGAAGCCGCTGGATGCGAATAGCGCAGGTGATGATCTTTGGGGGAGGCCTATGCTCAGCAGTGGGCCTCGTACAGCTGGTATGATGATGACAATAATTTGCGAAAAGTGGCCAAATTACTAGCCTCAAAATACGTTAAAAACTGTTATCTAAAACTGAACCTCCGTAACTGCGATATAACCCTGATAACGTGATTCTTGTCATATTAAAAATCGGACTAGCTACTTACTCAGTTGCATTTTGTGATGTTTGTCAATTTAAAATTTAACAAAGTTTAAATTATTTGTAATATTATCCATATTCTAAGTTTTTTGTAATACTCATCATTATGCTATGCTATAACACTTACTGGATGGTTATAGTAGTTAATACCGAAGAAAGGTCAAATACCTTTCTTCGGGGTCCCAATTTATGTGTGTATAATATCTGGCACTGTAAGAATGTTATTTTTACTTGTTAACGGTATGTGTTAAGCCTTTGAGGCACGTCATGCATACTAAACCATTTCCTGCGTCTACCACGCGTAGCAGGACATCATTAATGCTCAAATTATAGCCTAAAGCGATCCCATGGTATTTTGAGAACAACTTTTTTTTATTTAACTCACTACCCATTCAATTAGAAAACTTATAGAGAAAATTTTAATGAGATAGGTACCTTGTTCTTATTGGAAATTTATTAATAGATTTGTTGATGGCACAATAATGATATAAGCAATATTTTTCCCTATTCTATTCATAGGGAAGGCCTGTGCCCCATCAGTGGGGACATTAATAGGCTGATGATGATGTATTCTAGTCATGCCCTTTACAGAATGAAGAGGAGATACTAACTATCTTTATCTGCACGTAGAAAAGGATAGACTGTTGTCAAATGAAGTTTTAAGTTAAGAGAAGCTTGCCAGAATCCGTCCCAGTATCTTTAAATTACACACTTAAATACCTTTATTTTGTTAGTAATAATTAGTTTTTCACACAAATTATAACTAGTGTTTGTAATTGATTGCAAGAATTTGCTATATATCTAATCGAAACCATCTCACCAAAACATTTAAGTACCTCGACATTTCAGAATAGAGAACCTTTTGTTCTATAATCTGAGCTTGTCATAACAAATTTGTTTTTGTATAAAGGGAATAAAAAAACATTTAATAGGTATTTACCTTTTTATATTTTTTATATATTGTTTTGTGTTGTAATGTGGTTAATAATTTTTTCTCTGTCTCTCTCTCTACATAATTAACTGAATACGATATTACCGTGATCTTGCGATAAGCTTTGTATAATGGGTAAGTTTGAAATTTCAAAATTCATAATCTAATTTCCGTTCTTACTGGTGTTTTTATACCTTTTGTTCATTTTGCAGAAAGCAATTTGCCTACTCGTGAGATTATCTGAACGCTTGATGTGTACCAAAGCGCGAAACGACAGAAAATGTTTTATATGGTAATAATAACTGTACTTGTTCATTCCAAACTACCTCAGATGTAATGAACGCAAATAATTATTTTCGGGTAACGGCACCGCCTGCTGGCTGCGTACTGCCGCCATTTTTGTCTTTGATGTTACCACACGAATTTGATCAAAATATGTAAAAGCTTTTCACCTACAATAGGATAAATTTATTTCTTATGCATACAGAGCAGTGAAACTACGTGCAAGTGATACTTTTGAATCTCCAGCATGTGTAGCAATGTTTCTCAAACTTCTTGCAATAAACGAAACAAATAAATAAATGAAATATTTCCAACGCTCACACCAATTAGCCTAGCCCCAAAGTAAGCACTATAAGGCTTGTGTTATGGGATACTAGGGTAACGGATAGAATACATATACTTTACATATATCAGTATATTTATATAGAAATACATATTAAACATCCATGACTGGAGTACAAATGCTAGTGTTCATCACACAAACATCTGCCCCCACCGGGATTCGAACCCGGGACCCGGGAACCCCTCTCGAGTCGGCGACACCATGAAACCCGGCGTACAAACCACTCTGCCACGTAGGTCCTCAGGAAACACAACAATATAGATACCTGTCAACCATATTTTACGAAAAAAAACCGGCTGAACCTGGGTTTTCACAAAATAAATTCGGAGTAGCTTAGAGAACAATGAAAGAAAACTGATAGGAGTCGCTCTGAAAGACAGAAACACGATTGGTTGAGAGAGAAGAGTCGAGTCACTCATGTTATCAAGTGAATCACAAATCTCAAGTGGCAGTGGGTTGGCCATATTGCCAGAAGGCGAAATTCGTGGTGTAAAGCACTCATAGAATGGATAGCGTGGGATGAGAAGAAGAATATGAGTTGGTGATGATGTCGCCATCATCGAAATAACAGCTGGAGTGAAATGGATAAAAAAGCCCAAAACCAGAGGCAATGGCATAAAATGAACATGGCCTACAATCACATGGTTGAAAATGGCTAAGAAGAAGAAGAACTTTGCATTGAAAACAATTAATGAAATTTCAGTTTGTTTTTTTCTGAACTTGGTAATAAGAACGTCCCTACAAGAGACAGTAATTTTATTAAAAAATAGAGATAGAGGCTTTGCACCATTACATTTTGTTGTTGTAGGCGTTAATTAGATGGCGTAGCTAATTGGCGCGGCAAGCCTGATCGAACATTTGAATCGGAATTCAACGGTAAAAGACCGTTACGCTCCGAAATTGTTATTAGACATGTCGAGCGATCCGAGGCTTGAATTTTTATTTTTATTTTAACAACAATAACCACAATATACCTAACAGAATATATACAATTGGATGTTGATATAAAAAAAAATCTATTTATTATGATTTCATCAAAAGTTAGGATTACCAAAGAAAAGATAGTTGATATCTACTGATTATAAACCTTGTTTTGATTATTAGTAAAGTCTGGTAAAGGTTTGAATGTAATTTAATGTTAAAAAGAGAGATAGGGCATAGTGGATTTTTCGATCGAGTGTAACACCCACCTGTGAGAGTAACGTCCATTGCAGATGACTACCTTGAAATGAGACACCTCTTTCTGTGCTCTATGAAGTGCGCAAATTTTCAGAACTCGTTAGGTTAAACAACGCATGAGTAAAACTTTGATATCGCAATCGCATTATTTGCTAACCTTTTCACATAAAGAATCCTTTATAGGTATTATTAATTATTTTATTATGATCCTCCAATAATAGACCAGGGTCGAGAAATTTAAAAATGGTGAAAAGTGAAAAAAAATTATAGTAGGATGAAACCCATTAGAAAAGGTAGAGAATATAACAAAAATGAAAGGAAATAGTTATTTATTATACAAGAGTGGAAAGTTCCTTTTTAACCGCGTGCTCGATTTGGATGACCGAGCAAGCGAAGGATTCTAAAGTTGAATCACGAGCGCAGCGAGTGATTCTAAATTAGAATCCTGAGCGTCAGCGAGGGAAACAAACGAGCACAAGGTGAAAAATCTTTCCACTCGAGTGCAATACGTAACTTTTCATCCCACCTCAGCGAGGAAATGACAAAATGAAAAAGAAAACAATTTATAATGACAAAATATTTTTATTTCAATTAAAACACATTAAGATAATCTATAAATTGAAGAAAATAATAAGAAGTAGAAAATAATTAAGAAATATTAAATGTAACGTTGCTACAGTTACTTATGTTAAGTTTAATATTTTTGTTAGGTAATGTTATGTTGGTGTTTGTGAATTGTGCGCTGTTTTGTGGTAAACTACTCGTATCAGTAATTTTAAATAGTTGTGCCGATTCATTGGATTCTATTGGCGTAAATGTTGGCGAGAGAGGGCTATTGTTTCCAATCTTATGGGGGCTCATTTTAGATGTAGAAGGGCGAGACCAAGAATCTGACAGAGGTTCTTTCAGCGTTATGGCCTCCACGATACTATTACAAATTTTTGATTTACTTTGGATTGAATCCTCTATGTATCCCTCTACAACCGAATTAGACTTCCAGCCTCCATGGCGCTTAAGCGATAGAAGATCAGCCCCTGATTCGGCCAAAAGTGTGGCTGAGGTTCTTCTAAAACAGTGACCGGTGTATAACGGGGGTTCTAAAAGTCCGAGAAAAGTTGCTATTTCTCGTGGAATACTGCCAATTTTATTCTGACCCATAGGTTGTCGGATACACTTTCCGTTGCGATATTGTAGAAAAAATCGTTCAATTGGGGTGTTAGAAGGACGTAAAGCTTGATATTTCTGAACAATGTTTACATATTCCTTGCGAATAACGAAGTTGCGGTCTTTTTTTGTCTTGGTATTTAGTACATTAATTAATAGCAATTCATCAGAATTATGAGAATATTTTGATACGTTATTGACATTAAGTAGTGTAACTTCATTTGTTCGACATGCTCCGGTTATACCAATAATAAGAACAACC